AGAGACAATGTTTTGTGACATTTGTTGCAGTGAGCCTGGTTTTTGCCGAGATTGTTGTTGTATTCTTTGTTGTAAAACTATTAGTTCTGCTTATGGTGGGTATAGTTACATTAGGTGCGAAGCAACAGCTGATGGTGGTTACATTTGCGGACACATAGCCCATATAGACTGTGCTCTACGAGCTTATATGGCTGGGACAGTTGGAGGAAGCATTGGTCTGGATGCGGAGTATTGTTGTCGGCGCTGTGATTCAAGAACTGAATTGGTCTCACATGTCATGAAGCTTCTAAAAATTTGTGGATCAATTGATTCTCGTGATGACATCGAGAAGATTTTGAATGTTGGCTTTTGCATTCTACGTGGCTCACGGAAAACAAATTCAAAACAGTTGGTGCGTCACATTAAATCGGCCATGGCAAAGGTATAGCTGACTTAGAGGTAGATGAATGGTACTTTGTTTCCTCAAGGTATCTAGTGGTGCTTTTATGTGGTTTCCAATTTTCTGGAATGACCTCTATAATATCTTGTATCAGCTTCAGAAGGGTGCCTGCATTGGAGATGTGTTCAAAGAAGTAGAATTCATGGACGCCAATGGTACCTCCTGTCCTTTCAATTCTTATGTCACTGTTTCCCTTTGGCTCATGCATATACTTGGTCGAGAAATCTGCTTATGTGTGTAAAACCTTCTCGGGTCTTCAATTTGAATTTTTATAAATGCACGAATATATATGTATACGGACATGCATGCACTCTCTGTGTTAGCTATTTCTGTACTCTACATTTGTTCACAAATTCCAAAGGCATATCTTGCAACTGAAGCATAATATGAACAGAAAATTATCGACCAAGAGTCTTCTGCATGAAATCAATTTAGGAGAGCCTCTGAATCAGGCTGAAGAGGAATTATTTTGGGGTAGAAACCGTTTGTCAAGTCTATCCCGCTGCTTCTAACCAGATGAAGGAGATAGAATATGTCCATAAAATTTAGTATAACCACCCCAAACAGAAAGGCATCAATCTGTTAGGGACCAATCAAAAAGAATATAGTGATGCTGTATTAGTGAATTACAAGAGTAAATGGGAGGCACAATGTTGTGTACGACGTCATAGAATTCAACTTTTTACCTCCATAATATGATGCAGTGTAGGTTTTTGTGGTTCTCAGGTGAAACTGCTTAGGTATCTGGAGTAAGCTTCTAAGAATTAAGAAGGAAATCAAACTTGAGTCTCCCATTTATTAGCAATCCCAACTGTAAGAATGAGCATCAAGCACTAATAATATTAGATTTGTCATAGTAATAAAAAGAGTATGGTTCCAGCAAGGAGATCCGCAATGGTAACCATGAATGAACTTCATCAAGAAAAGTAAGGGTTATCTCACTCCAAGTTCTCCCCACTTCCTTAGGGACCTGACAGTCTTCTCAACTCACTAGGTGATATTCTTGGTAAAGCTTCAGGGTCATCAATAATATTCAATTCTCTCCTTTTTAAGCTATAAACATCTATTTATAGTCTAGGGTAGCTAAGCAAACACGTAGGTTAATACATGAAATGGGTCTCGAAACAAGATAATAAGAAGCTCTCCGGATTATGGGTGCAAGATATCCGGACCCATGAACTACTCAATGCAGACACTGGTGTGTGTGGTTGATGGTATGGTGTGCGGTCATAAGTTCACGAGTTATGGACATCCTGAATTGCTCTGAGGTTGGTTTCCAAATCCTTCCTCAAATGGACTTGGTTTCCATTTGGGACCTCCCATTGACACCCAATGTCTCTTGGCATGATATTGGTGGGAACCCATAGTCGTGCTCGTATTGACTATTTATTTTGTGCTTGAGATTTTTTTGTTGAGCTTGAAGTGCAACCATGTCTTAATGATGTTGGCGGTAGGTTGAATTTACTGGATTCTCTATTTTGTATTTCAGAATCCTAGGTCAGTTAATACGTCTAGATTCCTTTCAGTTCATCACATGCTTGGTTTCTGACGTCATTTAGGATGTTTTAGATCTTAAAAGATTGGAGCTTCCTATGGATCTGATTACTAGTTTTAGTGTCTTATTTAAACCAGTGAATTTTTATCAGTCAGATTCAGTGATTATTTTCTTATACTAGATAAATTTATTTCTGATATTTATAACTAACATATTAATTCATAACATTTTCTTGTTAATAAATAAATCCTGTTTTCAGTTATATTTACCATGTAGTGGTAGTGTGGTACCCTCACCAAAATGTTGCCTAATGGAAGCGACAATGCGTCCAACTACACCACACCTACTGCAGGTTTATCTGTATATTAGTTACTCTTAGGTTCTTCTTTACATTCTTCTAGTCCATCTTGATTTTACTCATTTTGTAGTAAGAACGATGTGCATGACTCACCGTTTAGGAGTCACGAGTACCTTCAAGGCCTTATTCTTCTGTTACAATGTACAGGAAGGAGTTTTGCGATGTGTGAAATATATTTTCATCTTAAATTTCCTTTTCTTTTCTGTATCTCTTGTATGTTTGTGTATATACTGATATTTATCTGATCATTATAAGAGCATATTTAGTCAATGCAGTAACTATGTTCAAGAGCTTTCTGTTTGAATATCTCTCTTCCTTGCAAAGCTTCATTCCATGTAATATCTCTTTAAAGCCTGAACGTACGCGACTTTCTTTTGATGATAGGAGGAACGCTTCATCATGGAGAGTCAATTCTTCGCGAAAGATCTTCACCACCAAAGATGACTTCAAATTTTGACCATCGAGTTGAATCCCTTAAGCTTGAGGATGAAATTGATCAAACTCTGCAGGCATTGAGGAAGTCACAAAACTTTGAGTACAGACTTGCTGAGGAAAGACTCCTTGTTCAAAAGAACTACATCATGAATCTATATGAACAGCTTGACAAGGAAAGATCTGATCTATCAAGCCATACAACGATGGTTGAAACAGATACCTTAGTTGATGCTGTTCTACAAAGAGTAGACCAAATAAAGCGAGAAGTATTGAAACTCAAGGACATGAAACAGGTACAAAATGGATTTGGAAGTACTTCTAAGACAATACTCAAGGACTACTTTGGTCTAGAAGCAGAATCTTCTTAAAGCAAAGCACTGCACTGTATCTTACAAAACATGTTTAGCAGTCTTATGCCAAAACTTTGCACATTGTATCTTACAGATACATGTTTGGCAGTCTTATGCCAAAGCTCCGCACATTGTATCTTACAACAAATACATGTCTGGCAGGTCTTATGCCAAAGTTTTGTTCCGAGCGGAGTATGTTGTTGTAAGTTGTAACTGTCGAATTAAGTCTTCTATATGTGAACATTTTCATGAAATCAGACTTATCTAGATTTTTCTGAAGTTGGAGTGCAAAATGAGCTTTTTTCTTTTGAAAAATAAGGTTCTTTCCCACCCAATTTCTCATATGAGAAGGGGAGCATTACCTTAGTGATATCTTAGCGCGACAAATTCATGTGCTTCTATTGTTGCATTATTTTGCTATCGTTATTGCTTCTTGTTTTTTGTTTACCTTCACGAAGTAGGGGTAAGGTCTGGGTAGACTGAGTCAAATACTATAAAATGTTTTTACAACCTTCACAATTTTGTAGGGAGTAAGGTATGCGTGCAGTGAGACAAATGAAAAGTTAATGTACAACAGTTTTTTAGAATCAAGAGAGAACAATTTATAAACGAGAAAACAGTCTTTTAAAAAACTGAAAAAAGTCAAATGTTAGCATATTAGTAGTATTATTATTACAATTTACATGGAGAATAAAGTTCCCCGAGTCAACCATAATGTACAACAATTATTATTATTTTATTTAGTATATTATTTCTGGAGAATAAAGAAATTCTGATTTTATAATATTAGTGATTCTTTTTCCTTTTATTTTCTGGTTACTGTACAAGAACAAGCCGGCCACCGCCACCCCAAACATCTCTACCGTCGGCGAACTCTCCACCGCCACGGCCAGCCTTTGGCACCGTCACAATTAACTCACCGTCCACAAACACAGCCGTAGCGAGCTCCGGCATTGTCGTAGCCGGCAACCTGAACCTCCACGTATCCACCTTCAGCTCTTCCAACAACAGCTCCTCTATTCCGCCAGCAACTCCGCCATCTCCGGCGCCATTTCTCACCACAATCTTCGTAATCCCAGTATGAATCTCAACCGCCTGCACCCTGACACCTCCCGCTCCGCCGCTTCCGCCGTCGTCAAATTCCATCACCGCCACGAAACGGAAGAATTCCGGACCTTCCTCAACCGCCACGTCAGCATCGGAACGAAACGGAAGTTCTAGAACCTTCCCGAATACATGAGGTAATTTTCGTAGCTTCTTCATTGGATTCCCTTCCATTGCTGCTAAAATTTGTTCCCGCTGCTCCGAATCCGAATCAGAACCCAACCCGATTCCTTCACGAATGGCAATGTTTCGTTTCAGGGACATAGGATGAACCCTCATGCTATAAAATTTGTTGGGTACAAAAAATCTCAATAATACCAATTCTTGATGAAAATTGTTGAAAATGAAAAAAAAGAAATGAGAAATAAAAATGCAGATGTAATTGAATATATAAAGAGGGTATGTATATACCTATGTATATATATATAGTAATATATATTCAATTACATATTGCCTCTGCAAATATGGATTTGGATTTCTTGGAGTTGGGTAACAGCCAGAAAGAAGGAGGAGAAGAAGAAAGAAGAAAAAAATATAAAAAGTAAATGAAATTAGATACAATATAAGTTAGCTCATTCGACTCGGCCGTTTGTCACTCCTAATATTCAGGATAAAGATAGATATATAATACGTGTATTTTCTAGAATGAGAAAAAGTTAAACCCAATGGTCTCAATAAAGATTGCACTCTTTCCCTACATATTGCATCTTTATCGTAATATCTTGTTATGACTTCTTCACTTATTATTATTTATTTTTTGAATTATTTTGTTATGCTTTTTCTTGAGCCAAAGGACTATTGATCTTTTCTTATAAACTGAACACCTTTTCCAAATCATGTTACAATTAGAGTTATGGAGATTGAGAAAGCTCATCCTCCTTTAATAGCAAAAGCCTTTTCACGATTCCGTGCTTTGCTGTTAAAGAGTACATTTCGGAAATATAGTTGGAGATGAGTCTATCGACCAATGCTGGAACTAAGAGAGTTTCAAAAGAGAAAGGGAATGAGTCTGGAAAGACGGGTCGAGAAGGGTTGCAAACTCAAATGAAAAGTATTCAAGCTGAAAGTGTTTCAAAATAGAAAGAGGAAGGCCGGAAAAAAGTAACTCGCCCAAAAGAAGAGGAATGAAGCGCTCATTTGCGATTGTTGGAAAAGAGAGGCAAGGCCCAAGGCACTTGCTAACGTGCAGAGAATCAACTTCGCTACCTCCTAAAGTAGAGGTAAAATCTGTGTATACACTATCCTCTCCAAATCCTCCTTGTGAAATTACACTGAGAATGTTGTTGTGTCTCGTATTTTGCAGGAGATAAAACGGTAGATCGCTAGAGCACTTTCAGATATGGGATACGAAAGAAAGTGTAAAAAGCATGAGAAACAATGAAATAATTTGTACACCACTGGATATAAAATGCTTCGAATTGACAACTTAATTATGTGAACATTGCATTGCATCCTATATTATAATTTATGCTGGCTACCCATTAAATTAATCCATAAATCATATCTATTAAATAAGTTAATGATCACAAAAGCCACTGAGCCATAAGCCCATAACTATATACAACCAGCTCTTAGGTAATGTCAGTTTCAAAGCATAGATTTTGCAGCAGATAACATTTAACAGGGCTATGCAAGACTGATCTCCAAAGGACAGATAAGTTCAATCTTGCATTGATCATGGTAGGCCAATTAGAAGCTCAACCTTCCTTGTTCTCGTGGCGATGCATCCGACGCCTGCTATGAGACCGTCTGGTGCTATGACTCCGCCTTTTAGGCAGCGGGCTAGAGGCATCAAGGTGGTGAATCTCTTCGGTGTTCCCTTGATGTCCGAGTATGCAATCAAATGGGTCTTCGGTTGACTCTAGAGCAACAGCAGCACCAACACCATTCATCTACAATTTTCAATACACAGCCTTGTAAAAGCAACTTAACTTATTCTGCTATAATGCAATATGACAGACTAAAATGGATTTGTTTCTGATTGACAATGGTAGCAATGACTTTTTACGCTCTTATATACACAGAAGAGAGCCCCCAATTTACTCTACTGCCCTGCCAGAGGGCAGTGCATAAATTTGGTGATTTTATGTAATTCCTACTACGACGTTGCACAACGGAAAGATCCCCAGGCCTCGGTATCCATTGATCATCTTCAATATTATATATAAAAGAAGCAGAGTACTCACATTAATTTGCTTTCTCTCAAGATTAGTTTTCCTCAGATCAGTATTCTCTGAATGGGATTTCTTACTGGAAGAGTCATCACCTTCTACCTCGTGAGAAGAAAAAATTTCCCCATAGGTACTTCGAAAACGCCACCTCGGTTTTGGCTTGTCTGTTGAATCATCATCATAAACATTTTCAGAGTAAAAGTATTTGGAGACGAACTGCAGTACAGGCGGATTATGCTGATACTTCTTCAACATTCTATCACGACAAAATACTACATCAATACATAGATAAAATGAATCATGCTGATACTTCAATTTCAATCTTGATAGAATAGTACATCAGTAGTTCATACATAATGAAAAGAAAGAAATAACCGTGATACTATTAACATAAGGAAGTATGATGACAAGATTCATCAAAATTCAACGAGTATCAAAGCTTTATTTTAAAGAATTATTGAGATCTTTCCCTTTTGAGGAATATATGTCTTGAATTATTTTCGTTTTGTTTTCATTGTTTGAACTACACAACTATGAAGTGCTCTTGTTATCGGTAGTTGAAGACTCGGAATATAATAAGGTTTCCTTGGATTAGCCAGGTCTCTCCCACACCCTTCACCAGTATAACTGTATGCCCACACCAGGATACCTATTTTGTGCAACGAGTTTTCCATTAATTCAATATTTTAGTAGTATGGTTTAAAGATGCATAAAATTCACTTACACCAGATTCATATATTCGAAGAGAGCCTAGATATGCAGTCAAGCCTGATATGAGGCAATACTATGAAATAAATAAATCAAGCCTTGAGGCATACAAATGAACAATCTACTCTTTCTAGCTTTTGACTGAATGCCTACTACTTCCATTTTTCTATGTTATTCTTTGTGTGTGTATATTCTTTTGCCATAAATTACTCTATTTCATTTGTTGTTTTCCTTTCCAAGAAAGTGAACAGATTTGAGTCTCCAACCAGATTTAAGCATGCAGACCAAGCATATGTAGAGGACTAGGCTTCAAACATGAAGTGATAATATAGCGCTCATTTTTATTAGTCCAATCATCTGACATTCCGTCAATTTAAAACATGAGTGAGATATAGTGATGCTTCGTATATTTCCTTCACATTATGTATTGCCATGCACGCTATTCTGTATTTTTCCATGACAAGTGTGCACAGATTTCTATACTTGGTGGAAATACATGAATGTATATATTTGAATTGAAGTAAGAAACTCAGATCATTCTCTAGACAATAGCATACTTCAATGTTAAACACTCACAGTGAGGACAATTTCTTGCTATCTAGAGTACTCTAGACTACGACATATTTTAAAGTTTAATACTCTTGCGGTGAGCCGGTGACAATTTCTTGCTATCTAAGGTACATCAAGCACAACTCTTCACACTTCTCAGTCATTCTTATTCTAACTGAAGACAAGGAAAGTACCAAAAGAAGAAGAAAAATCAGAGAGTATAAACATAGCATAACTGATCAGTCAGCATGTTCCTACTGCAAGTTGAATCCAGCAAAATAGCTCAGAGAGATAAAGATGTGGTACTTAAGTCGTTTAAACTCCTACGGCGCAAGTTATCATGTACAAAGCACTCAAGGATTAAGATCTTGAGAATTCAATTATTTATCAAATGGGAACAGTATGACATATTCAGTCCTTGTCAAAGGTTTAGCATCTTTCTCATTCAAATATCCAGAACTACAAAGCAATTTGAAATTCTTGAATTTGCTCCTTGGGATATAGAGGTAGCTGTCATAAAGGATTATCATTTATATTAATTATAGTTCCCCATTTTCACATGGTACCTCACTCTAACACTAATGGTGACGAGTAATAACCTGTTAGAACAATCAGGCCAACTGATCAAACTTAGAAGGATGTCATTGTTCAAAGTTTGTTTAGGTGTTTGATTTTCAAAGTAAAGTTGGAGGGGGAAATGATTTTAACCAATTAAATTCAGGAAAGTATTAATCTTGCAAATCTTACTAACACCACCCCACCCCCAACGCCCTTTGTTGCTTTTCGAGAATAAGATGTTGAAAAGTATTTAAGATCCCCTTCCGATTAAAAAGGCCAAACCCATCGGTGACCCCCTAATGTTGGCACGAAGACTTAGACACCTCAACTGAACGATGTTCATTTTAAACACCTAATGTAGGGTTTTGTTAAGTCATTTTGACACCTTTTTTTCAATAAACAAAAATATATAATGTGTGTTACACTCGCGAGTGACCTTTAAAGTGTCCAATAAAATGAGGACATTTGTCATTTAACCCCAAAATAATTCTTAAACAATAAATTTTGGTAAAAAACAAAAAAATAACTAGTGAATTGATGACACATGGCATTTTGCCCAAATAATTACAAAGAGAAAATTTAATCACTTTTAAAAAATGTCTTTTGCAGAACACCAAACTACCCCCACCTAGGGGTGGGCATAAACACCGAAAAACCGAAAAACCGAACCGAACCGAATTATTTTGGTAATTCGGTTTCAGTATTTCGGTTTTCGGTTCGTTATTCGGTATATGGTTTTGTATTTTTCGGTATTTCGGTTCGGTTTCGGTTTTTTTTCGGTTTTTCGGTTTACCGAAATATATTATATTATAATATATATTAATATTATATTAATTATTAATATTAAAAAATAAATATTATAATTTAAAATTAAAACAAATGTTTGTCTTTTCAAACTTTTCAACTTTACAAACCCACTTCCCAAAAGGCAAAAATTACCGTTCCCACTTCCCACGTCTAGTCGTCTACAGACTATAGCAGCGTCGACCGTTCCGGTGACCAGCAGCACGCAGCAGCTGCCAATCGACCAGCAGGCAGCCGCAGCACAACAACGACCGGTAAATTTCAATGTTATATAACAAGGCTAAATTTCAATGTTAACGACAATTTATTATTATGAATCATACAATAATTTGAAAAACAGAGTAAAATAAGCAAAAAGAAATAAACATATATAAAATAAACAAAAAAATTACAAAATTTTTAAAAGCCCACTAAGCAGGCCCATAACAAAAAACCGAATTAACAAAAACCGAACCGAAATAACAAAAACCGAACCGAAATATTTCGGTTCGGTATTCGGTACACATTGTACAAAAACCGAAAAAACCGAAAAAAAAAACCGAAACCGAACCGAAATACCGAATGCCCAGCCCTACTTCCGAGGGCATTGCTTAAATTAATTAAAGTATTCCTGATCTCTTTTTAATTCTATTTGTTGGATAACGAACCTAGTCACGAAAAGTTTATCAATGAAAGAGGATGCATTTTGGGAAAAACAAAAAGAAAATAGAACTTCAATGTAAAGTAGAGCAAGTAAGATTATTTGGGAGTGCTCAAGGTTAAGTTTCATTGTACTAAGTCATGCATGCATTCAGACTGTGTAGCACTTCATCTTTAGGGGTAAAAATCACCTCATTTATTTAGCCCAAAAACAAAAAAAAAAAATTGAGAAGTGTGTTTGAGGACCTACATTTCCCCCAACTCCTTTTGCAGACGAGTTCCATGCTGAGAGAGAATAAGTTCAACACCTGAATCCAAAGACTTGGCAAATCTCCACTTGCCATAGAACCAACCAGCACCTGGAGATAGAAGAGTTTGAAAAACTAAGCAATACACTAGGGAAAAGCAACTGAAAATGTTCTCTGTTTCGAAGCAGAAATCAATAGCTCTCTTACTAACTTGAGGCCTAATGAGTTTCTTGAACCAAGTATCCTAAATACAAAGATTGGTAGGCCTATCATAAACTGGACATATATAGTGCGAGACAGAGTTTACAAGTTTCCAGAGTTGCAAAAGCCCTTGAAATAAGAATGTCCATCTGTTTTTCTCTATACATGTAAAGGGCTAAAGGCTATTAGGTTGCTTCTGGAAATGTCAAACCATTAATCAGAAAGCTAATAACTAACAACTAGTTAAAAAGAGGAAAGAGAAAAATGAAAATAAATCTGGCTAGTCAACCATTGAATTCTTCGTTTAGCTTTTACTTCTGGCAATACTTAAGAATTTTTCCATTTTAAAAAGCTAAATATGTGAATAAATTGAGCACTTGACTGGCATCCATCAACTGCTTAGCATTTGAGAATTTATAGAAAACCGACACCAGACAGATAGATATTGTTGGTGGCCAATAGGTAAGAGTAAAAGGCAAGAACATGAGAAAGACAACTCCCTGTCCTCTAGGATAAGGTTGAGTATGCTCTCTGATTTTAAAGGTTTAAACAACAGTGAGG